ACAAGGCAAATTTCCTTCCAATACTATGGACGCTAACTTCAGACATGACCCGATGGTCTCAGTTTGCAAGGATAAATGCCATCAAAATGAATTTGTTGCCTATGTTTTTGTTTCTCTTTCAAACAATCCCAGTTATGATCCCAAGAGCACTTAAATTCTAAAGTCAATGTGGAAGACCCTAGAATTAAGGAAACACATTTTGTCCTTCCAAAATGCTTGGGTGGAGTAGGGCTTCTCTCCATATTGACATACTACCAAGCAACTCACCTATTCTATTTTTCTGACTGGCATGTACACAATTCCTCTAAATTGTGGGTAGAACTGGAGCTTGCCCAGCTTGAGAGTAAATTGCACTCTTTAGTGTGCCTTGCTACAAGGCAAGTCCTTTATTCATAGGGATTTCACTCAAGTTGAGAGTATCTGTTGCTCCCAATCCCATATGACCCGTGGTATATCGGTATTAAATGCCATGCTGTTGACGACTTTCTGTAGGGAGCCTGCAAGATATATCGCTAGGTGGGAACAATTTCAGACCAGCAGTGAGAAAAAATAAATATACTCTCCCACCAGAGTTCAATCTGTTCTAAGCTCCAGGAGCTGAACTGTAAGTTACTCACGTACTCCTTAGTTGTTACATTGCATTTAGGTGGGGTACTCGTGTACGTGCTGGAGATGTAAATAAATACATGTAGTATCTCTATTAACCCGTTGAGGACCGATGACGGTTCAGAACTTACCTGATCGCCGTCGGTCCCCCCCCCCCGCGCGATCAGCATTCCTCCCAGTCCAGGGGGACTGCCTGTCTGCCCAGGCAGTCTCCCCGTGGCAGATCAGGACCCTGCGGTCACGTGATCGCTCGATCACATGACCACAATAGGTGTCTGTGTATTTGCCTGCAGGGGGACTGTCTGTGCTGACAGGCAGTCTCCCTGCAAGTAGAAAATCCTTAAATAAAGTTACAAAAAAATGCAATCTGTGTAAAAAAATAATAATATATGTGTATATATATATATATAAATATATATATATATATATATAAAAGATATATATATACATGTATATAATGTCATACTAAGTGTATTTTTATATTTATATATACATATATTAATATAAAAATACACTTATAATTAAATTACACACGTATATATACAATATATATAACTATATATATTGTATATATATATTATCAAATATAAATAATACGTATATAAAAATACATTTAAAAATGTTAAAATAATTTTTAATAATTTGAAAAAAATTATATATATATATATACATATATGTAATTTTATTCTAACGGTATTTTGATATTAACATATATATATATATTTATATCAAAATACACTTAGAATGAAATTATATATATATCTATGTATAAAAAAAATAAATAAAAATAATACGAAATATACATATGTCCATATATAATTACATAAATAATTTCATAAATATACACGTAGACTTCAAATATATAAATATGTATATATATTTAAATTCTACGTGCATATTTATGTAATATTATTACATAATTAAGTAATTTTATTAATTGCAGTTTGAGGGACATGCCTGAGAACCCAGGCCAAAAGTCCAGAGAATTTAATTTGCTAGCACTATATTTAACCCTGTAACTTTTTATGACACCCTAAAACCTGTACATGGGGGGTACTGTTTTACTCGGGTGACTTCGCTAAACACAAAAATTAGTCTTTCAAAACAGTAAAACATATCACAGCGATGATATGGTCAGTGAAAGTGAAGTTTTTTTGCATTTTTCACACACAAACGGCACTTTCACTGATGATATTATTGCTGTGATAGGTTTTACTGTTCTGAAACACTATTGTTTGTGTTCAGCGAAGTCCCCTGAGTATAACAGTACCCCACATGTAGAGGATTTTATAGTGCTTTTGAAAGTTACAGGGTCAAATATAAGGCTTAATTGTTTTCATTGAAATTTGTCAGATTGGTAATGTTGCCTTTGCGAGCGTATGGTAGCCCAGGAATGAGAATTACCCCCATGATGGCATACCATTTGCAAAAGAAGACAACCCAAGGTATTGCAAATGGGGAATGTTCAGCCTTTTTTAGTGGCCACTTAGTCACAAACACTGGCCAAAGTTACCATTTTTTGCATTTTTAACACACAAACAAATATAAATGCTAACTTTGACCAGTGTTTGTGACTAAGTGGCTACTAAAAAAAGACTGGCCATACCCCATATTAAATACCTTGGGTTGTCTACTTTAAAAAAAATATGTACATGTGGGGTGTGATTCGGGGATTTATGACAGATAACAGTGTTACAATGTCACTGTTGATAAATGTAAAATATATATATAGACCCGACAGACCCAAACCAGGCATGAGTATTGCTGATCTCCTCCACCAGGCGCATGTGGGCCCAAGATGGCCGCTGACCTGGACGACTTTTCAGAAAACTCTGAGGAGCTGTCCCTGGACGATGAAGATGGCGGCCATGTGCTGGCATAAAAACCTCCACCTAAGCCCAAGACCAGTGACTCTAGAGCGATGACAGCAGAAAAGCTCCTGAACATGCTAGGTGCCCTCCAGAAAACCATACAGGTGGAAGTGGCCCTCCTGCGCACTGACATCACGGGCCTGTAGGCTGCATTGTCACAGTGTAAATTGTCTCAGAGAAGACCCAAACCATAGCACAACTCCAGCAGGACATCCAAACACTCACCAAAAAACAAGCTGCGTCTGACATGCAATTCGCCCATTTAGAAGACACGTAATGCAGCACCAACTTGAAAATCCGGGGAATACCGGAGGGTGTACCTGCAGCAGAGCTCCCACATCTACTCTGGAGACTACTCCGGACCCAACTACTGGAGCCCAAGCTGTCCAGAACTGTACACCTGGACGGCACCTTTTGGGTGCCGAAACCTAGGGGAACACCTGACACAGTGCCAATCCCGCAGTGTCAGGTGTATAAAAAGAACTATAAAAGAACTACCAAGGTTAAAAATTAAAAAGGGGGAGACATAGGTGGGATGACCAGATCAGGAACGGCTCAGATAAGAGGGTGGATTAAGGTTAAATAGGCCATGAAAAAATACATATATAAAGTGAAAAATGGAAATACCAGACATATAGGTATACAAATTTTACCACATGACAGGAGGCTTCCTATTTTGCATAAACTTTCTTTACTTTTACTCCAGCAGCAAATCTCAATATAGAGATTAGCCAATCAGAAAGAAGAAACACAGAGTATATAAGTCTAGGTCCGGCCACACACTTCCTCTTTCTTTGCTGCTCCAGCAGGATACAGGTCAGAGTACTCACTCCTGCTGTTAGACGTTACAGCATTTAGTGTACGTTGGCTTCTATCCTAAGCTGGCGCTGAATCTTGTTTTTGAGTGCATTCAGTACGCGGTGTGGCTGCGTTGCAGGCATTTTTATCTGGTGCTTCGCTTGCTGATAGCATGCGTTCAGCAGACTGGTCACGCGAAGATACTTTCTGTGTTTTCTATTTTTGCCCTTCTTCTCATGCTTCTTTTGCTCTTCTTTCTTAAGCGTTAAAATAGGATGCCGCCTGTCATGTGGTAAACTTGTAGATTATGGTAACGAAGTGTACCTTTAATCTTAATTTTAGTAATGACAGGAGGCAAGTATTTTCCCTCCCTATTCTTTCTTATTCTGTCTCACCCATTCATGTATCTTATTTACTCATAAGGGTTATTGGGATTGTACTGTGATATATCGTGTTTATTGGGGATTGGTCTTACCATAGTTAGTCATTCGTTTAAATTCTACTACATGTCTTAAGATGAATTAGTCGATTATATTGGTTGTTTATGTTGACATGACGCTATGGCTCTCACCTTTCACTTATCTCTGTTCTTTTCCAGGATGAATCTCATCAAACACAATGTTGGTCATTTTCTTCGTGGTCCGCCAATTTTTCCTGATGAGGATCGTCTCTGATGATTCCAAGTTCCTGTTTTCCGTTCTTACGTTTGGAGTTGATTGATCCGTACATTTCGCACCAAAGAAAGAGGAAGTGTGTGGGCGGACCTAGACTTATATACTCTGTGTTTCTTCTTTCTGATTGGTTAATACTTTATATTGAGATTTGCTGCTGGAGTAAAAGTAAAGAAGGTTTATGCAAAATACTCGCCTCCTGTCATTACTAAAATTAAGGTACACTACGTTAGCATAATATACAATTAGTGTATGTATGTGGCCCAGCATAAGCCTTCTAACTGGAAAACAATGAATTAAACCCCTCATCCCAAGGGTAGGTATGGTTGTGGTAGCAAGGCCAATAAGAAGGCCAGGTGCAGACACATACAGATGTGCAAAAGGCCAATTTCTGGCCGAGTGAACAATTGAAAAAATACATAGAGCAATGCATGCAAAGGTACGATAAGACCATGTAAGCGATTGTGTATACTTTTATAGGGTAAGTGCGGGTTTATGACTGAAACAAACAGGAATGTTAGAATCGGGCCAAATGAAGCAGGTAATAATACTTGAAATACCTACAATTGATTTGAACAAAGAAATAATAATAAGTACAATATAAACACCAGAAAGAATGCACATATAAATACCAGTGAGGCCGAATAAGTACCAAATATGGCATGTAGGTAATACCACACACCAGTTGACACAAATCAGTAAAACCGAATCAAGCAAACAATACATTAAAAAAAAAATATTTAAAATATTTCCCGCACTGCCCAAGTCCAATAAACATAACCTATATTAACATTTAAATAGTTCTTTAATTATTATTTTCCTGTGCATAATTTGCCTGACTGTCTATGTCTACCAGTGTATCGTATTTATCTCTGCTTAGCTTTCTATTTTCATGGGTAACTTTGTTTTAAGGTCACCTCCGGAGTGTAAACACAGTTTAACGTCAACCTCTTTTCCTTTAACCCAGTTATCAGCTTTTGATGATTAATCTTGTTTAAAAACAGCGATCTTCACCATAATTTCTGTGACATTGAATTAACAGACAGACGGGGCAATGGATACACTATTCTCTGGACCAGAGATTTACAAACAGCATTTCAATCCAAAAGATTATTATGATTCATACTATGCTTCAGACAAAGGAGCATTGCTAGGAGAACGGACTAATATTGTACTAAGGAATTTTCATGAAATCTTCTCTTCAGGTAATCTACTAGACTGTGAATAATCTTTAACCCCTTAAGGACCAAACTTCTGGAATAAAAGGGAATCATGACATGTCACACATGTCATGTGTCCTTAAGGGGTTAAATAAAACAATTTAAATAGATAAAAGGTGAATGTGTTAAAAAAGGACTATTTTGTAATTTTTCTCAATCCATTTACTAGCATAAAAAGGTGCTACTGTTTTTTCAGCGATTCTCTCTATTTGCCCTTTAAATAGTGTTCTCCTTGATATATTTACTAGACTAGAAGTGGAAAAGGTAAATCCACAGATATAATGGAACGATAATTCACATGATAGTTTGTCAGTCTTTAAATATGACGAACATCACGACAGTAGTTTTTGCCAAATTGCACAAGAGATGGAGTTGTATCAAGATACTGAATTGGAAGCTAAAGCCAATTGTGAGCATCAACAACCCACATACTTGTTAGTTATCTGATCATTGCAATGATCCTCCACGGTTGCCATATCTCTTGTGTAGAGAGAACTTGTTACCATTTCAGTTCTGGACTACCCTTATGGATGGGATTGGTCTGATATGCCTTGGAACTGGTTCTCTCTGTAATGGCAGAAGTGAGCAAAAACTATTTTAAGACGTTAGCGGGGATTTACCAAAGGGCAAGCTGTTGATTTCTCTAAGCTTTTGTCCATTCTCAGAGTTCTCGTATTCCCTGTTTTTGTTGCAATGCATTAGCTTGGCTCTCTCCAAGTTCAAAAGGGTAATCCAGACCTGGACCCTGTCCTCACTGTGCGTAAAGGGGTATCAGCTACACCTCGCTGCTGAAGCCTAAAGAAGGCAAAAATGATCGTCCTGAGGTTGCTGTATCTCCCATGCAGAAAGAACTTGCCGGCATTTCAGTTTTGGACTGCCCTTTATGGTGGGATCAGTCTGATTTAGGTTCACTCTATATTAGCACAAGTGAGCAAATACTATTTTGAAACCTGAGCCGGAATGTACCGAAGGGAAAGATACTGAGTTTCTCTAAGTTTTTGTCCGTTTTTATATTCCCTGTACTTGTTTATTATAACCTTAAATATTTTTGTTTAACTATAATAAAAAAATCTAGTCTTTTTTGAAAAGTTTCAGTATCAAAGACAAAAAGCAAAGAGCATCAAAGGATTCACAAATCTAAACTTACTGAAACCACTATGGCTCCAGATGAGTTCATGTGATGGACCAGAAAACCTCTTCTTAAAATAAATCAATGCCCAAACCAGTAGGTTAAACAATTAACAGCAATGTCAGGGTATTGGGAATAAATTACCGGAAATATATAAACGTTGAGGGAAATTGTCATGTGTATGATAATGTTTTGTGCGGATCAAATCAGATGTTCATTATGTGTCTTACCATGTAAAGATTAATGCAAATTATGTTTTTTTTTCTATGTTATCTGTGGACCAGTAATATAACTTACATACAAATAAGAGCTTCTCCATAATTAATATCCATTTCTGTTCTCCAGTGCTAATTAATAAAAAACATCCTGTTTTTGTAATGTTCCTATAGAAAAATGTTTTGATAAATCTTTAATAATATATATTTTATCTTAAAAGGAGTTGTTAAAGGAAACACACTGATTGATATTGGTGCTGGATCAGCAATCTTTGAACTGCTCTCAGCTTGTGAAGTCTTTACCAATATTATCATTTCCGACTTCTTGGAGCAAAATCTCACCGAAGTAAAGAAATGGCTGACGAAGGACTCCAATATGTTGGACTGGACCTCATATGTAAAGTTTGTTTGTGATCTAGAAGGGAAAAGGTACGATCAATCCAATAATGAAGATTTATTAAGAACATTTTTGTAATGAAGAAGAATGTAGTTTGATACTAATGCTAGGAGGTAATACGTTTATGGCGCACATTCAAGTGTGGAGCCAAAAGTCACAAATAAAAAGGCTAAGTGAGGATTATTTTTGTAATGAAGAAGAATGTAGTTTGATACTTATGCTAGGAGGTAACATGTTTATGGCACAGATATGAGTGTGAGCCAAAACTCACAAGCAAAAAAGGCTAAGTGAAATTGTAATTGAACATCCCTCAAATGATATGCAAACATAACCCTAGAGAATATATTTGTAATAAAATATTCTATATTTTATAAAAATTTGCTTCCCTTCCAAACATAATGAGGTTTATTTATTAAACAAATTGCTAAGTTTATGGAAAAAGTGCTGATTTAAAAAAAAAAATATCCAACTCAGCTAGAGTCACACCATGGGTATTTTAGCCCTAAATTTAGTAATTGAGTTTCAGGTAACTATTATGCAATATTTTGTTAATAAATGCCAATGTGAGCCCTGCATTACTATTTTTATTCTTTGGCGTATTTGTTATGGGTTGTAGAGTATGCAACTATAACTCGAGAGCATCAAAGGATTCACAGATCTAAAATTACTGAAACCACTAAGGCTCGAGATGAGTTCATGTGATGGACCAGAAAATCTCTTCTTCAAATAAATCAATGCCCAAACCAGTAGGTTAAACAATTAACAGCACTGTCAGGGGATTGGACATCAAATATAGGAAATATTAATACAAATTTTGAGGGAAAATTGTCATGTGTATGATAATGTTTTGTGCGGATCAAATTAGATGTTCATTATGTGTCTTACTATGTAAAGATTAATGCATGTTATGTTTTTTTTCTATGTTATCTGTGGATCAGTAATATAATTTACATATAAGTCAGAGCTGTTTCATAATTAATATCAATTTCTCTTCTCCAGTGCTAATTTGCAGGAGAAGGAAGAAAAACTCCGCAAAACTGTGAAGCAAGTTGTGAAATGTGACGTACTGAAGAAGAATCCATTCGAGCCACTTGTTATTCCACCAGCTGATTGTCTAATAAGTTGTTTCTGCTTAGAAACTGCATGTAAGGATGTGGCATCCTATTGTAACACCCTGAAAAACTTTAAGGACTTGCTCAAACCAGGAGGCCATATCATAATGCAGAGTGCAGAAAATGGTACATTTTATCATGTCAGGGAAAAAAAGTTTTATTGCTTGACTATAACAAAGAAAGAAATTGAGAAGGCTTTCATAGAAGCTGGTTATGAAATTGTGAAATTAGAAGTGAAACAACGTAAGGATAAGTCTAGGTTAGACATCTATGATTACCACAGCTTGTACTGCGTCCATGCCCGTAAGCCATGCAGTCTATAACATTTTCACCAATAATGGCAATTGCGAGCTTTTATATTTTAACAGAGAAAAAAAAAACATTTTAAGATGCTCAAGTGCAATTTAAATACCGTTTATCAATTAATCACAGTTTGATGTTTAATCATGATAGTACACATACATAATATATTAGTAGATAGTTACCTTTGTAAGCATATATTTCTTTGTAAATAACCACCAGGTATCCACATAAAATTTCCTTTCTCACTCCTGAAAATAGCACATTCAAATATCTTTTTATCTTTGCAATTATAATTCTTGTGCAGTCTCAAACGTTAGTGTTCACTGAAGTTTGTGGAAACTTACACGTGCAACTCGGCTAGTAGTATGTGTCCATATATGGTTTCAATATAGCACATTAATCACCATGACAGCATTTACTTCCAAAAATACAATCACTACTACAATATCTAGTCTATTTATTCTAATGATCAGCTTTAATATCTATCAATCAGGTTATAAATTACTTAATGATAATAATGTTATAAAGTGGTTTCTAATCCAATTTGGCTACTGCAATTATATTTTAAGATAATAATGTTATAAAGTGGTTTCTAATCCAATTTGGCTACTGCAATGATGTTTTCAGATATTAAAATGTGTAGATGTGTACTCAATAAACAACAGTGGGAAAACATTTTATAAATCTGGTAAAAGATAATGCTTTTTTTATAATTACTGTTTGATATTACGCTTAGTATTTCCTTCTATCAATACATTCTAGCTCCTGTTTTCCACTTTTTAATATCCCCATACATTGTCTTCCTAGTGATGAAAATGGTGATAATTCCATAAAGATAAATGAAATTGTCTCTGTTTATGGTTTAATCTTGTGTTTTATTAAAAAGATAAAACTCCTAAAATGGCAGTAGGGTAGCAGTTGGGATCCCTGTAAGTTCCGATTTCAAATGAGTTAATTTCACAATGGTCCTTCAGTTTTCCATTCCAAGCATCCTTTTCTCCCCCGAAGGTGTATATGAAAGACTAGGGAGACCTCTCTCGTTGCTTTCTGCCTAGATGTTCAGTAGAAGTTAATATAGATATGACATTATATTTGGCTTCTTTATTATGTATACAGTGAATCACGGAGACATACCTTCAGACACTACCGTCAGTATAGTTAAAATTAGGATATTATCAGTGAATACATGAAATGAAATGGGAAACCTCAAAACAACCCTGCACAGAAACATTTTATTCCATGGAAGATTAGGTTGAACATTGACTGGGTTCTTTGCTAAAGTAAGCATTCAAAGTGAATGCAAAGTTAGTTTTTGCCTGCTTTGGCCTTAAATGTGAAATTTACTTAGAATTCTCGCTTTACGTAATAATCCTGGAAGGATCTAATGTCTTTGCGTCTGACCATTCATCCATGTATATGGCAAATACTCGTGTCACTAAGGCAACAAATGAAAAAGGCCCCGTATTTGTTCTGTGCAACACAGGCAAATTTAATGACACACTTGTGCTGCGTTTGCTTGTGACTTGTCTCTGGTGTAAGTGGGATCCCAAAGAATAAAAGGGCCAGGAAAGTGTATTGTGCATGTGGTTGGAGGATTGCAAATGTATAGAGTCAGCTGATTGTGATGTGGTATTTTGTGTAAATAGATTGTTTTCACTTGTGATGTGTGTGTTGTGCAATATCTGTAGCTCAGGGCTGTAGAGTGTGATAGTGTGTGTGGGTATAGGGAGCATAGTGTGTGTGTATATAATATATATAATTATATATATTGTATGTATATATATATATATATATATATATATATATATATTATAAGATATACATAATAAGTAAATAAAAATAAATAAAAAAATGTAAAAAAATAAACATATATATATGTAATTTTATTCTAACTGTATTTTGATACATATATATATATATATATATATATATATATATATATATACACACAATTAGATTGACATTATATACATATCTATGTATATATAAATAAATAAAAATAATATGAAATATTTATATATATATATATATATATATCCATATACAAAATAACATAAATAATTTCATAAATATACACATATACTTTAAATATATAAATATGTATATATATTTACATTTTATGTGCATATTTATATAATATTTTTACAATTGATTGCAATATGAAGGAACCTGCCTGACTACCCAGGCTGAAAGTCTAGAGAATTTAATTTGCTAGCAACTTTTCATGACACCCTAAAACCTGTACATGGGGGGTACTGTTTTACTCGGGAAACTTCGCTGAACACAAATGTTAGTGTTTCAAAACAGTAAAACATATCACAGCGGTGATATTGTCAGTAAAATTAAATATGTTGCCTTTTTTCACACACAAACGGCACTTTCAGTGATGATATCATTGTTGTGATACATGTTATTGTTTTGAAACACTAATATTTGTGTTCAGTATACTACCAAGTATAACAGTACCCCCCATGTACAGGTTTTATGGTGTTTTTGAAAGTTACAGAGTCAAATATAAGGCTACATTTTCCTTTTTTGTTTTTTTACATTGAAATTTGCCAGGTTGGTTATGTTGCCTTTGAGAGTGTATGGTAGCCCAGGAATGAGTATTACCCCCATGATGGCATACCATTTGTAAAAGTAGACAACCCAAGGTATTGCAAATGGGGAATGTTCAGCCTTTTTTAATGGCCACTTAGTCACAAACACTGGCCAAAGTTAGCCTTCTTATTTTCTTTGTTTTTCATTTTTAACACACAAACAAATATAAATGCTAACTTTAGCCAGTGTTTGTGACAAAGTGGCTACTAAAAAAGACTGGACATACCCCATATTGAATACCCTGGCTTGCCTACTTTAAAAAAATATGTACAGGTGAGGTGCGATTCTGAGATTTATGACAGATAACAGTGTTGCAATGTCACTATTGATAAATTTAAAAAATATATATTTTGAAACAGCAATTTCCTACTTGTACTATAACTTGCAAAAAAAAAGCACATAAACACTGGGTGTTTTTAAACGCAGGACAACATTTTGAGTCTATTTAGCAGTTTTTTCATTAGCTTTAATTAATTTAATTAATTTTTCACCATATTTTTTTTTTTTTTTAAAGTAAATTAGATGACATGATACAAATAATGGTATGTAAAGAAAGCCTTTCTTGTCCTGAAAAAAAACAATATATAACTTGTATGGGAACAGTAAATGAGAGAGAGGAAAATTACAGCTAAACACAAACACCACAAAAGTGTTAAAACAGCCCTAGTTCTTAACGTACAACATGGAAACAGTCCGGTCCTTAAGGGGTCAAAAAAATCTACAAACTCAAGTAGTAATGGCGCTAAAAACAGACAAAAAAAATATTAACAAGAAGCTGCACCTTACACAGTGTACAAGCTCAAATAAACACTCACTAAAATGTCAACAAAAAATAAGGTTCGATGTGCCTTTAAGACTATATTATTTTAATAATAAATAAATATATTTATGCAGATATTAATGATAAAGTGCATTTATCATTAAGTGCTGCAATTCTTGTGAAAAAACAGTGTAAAGTGCCACACTTACATGTTAATACAGGGGTCCTCAAACTTTTTAAACAGGGAGACAGTTCATTGTCCCTCAGACACTGTTGGGGGCCGGACTATAGTTTGAAAAAAAATTGAACTAATTCCTATTCATACTGAAACAGACACATAGACATATACAGACACACAAACACATACTAACATACATACAAACACACACATGCATAAGGACATACATACTGTCAGGTATAACTTAAAATACATTCGCCGTAAGAACCCACTTCCGGGTTCACGGCGCTTAGCTCCTCCCCTTTCTCTGACGCGGTCCCTCCACGATACTTAGGGAGACCGCGCCAGATTCAAAACGCTGGATTATTACACAGGTACCTGAAAAGTGATCAGCTGTTTTACTCCATCCTGCCTGTTTCAAACCACGGATTGCTAAACGGACTTCCACTCTCTTCACTCCAAGGCCACGGATTGCTAAACGGACTTCCACTCTCTCCACTCCTAGACCACGGATTGCTAAACGGACTTCCACTCTCTCCACTCCAAGACCACGGATTGCTAAACGGACTTCCACTCTCTCCACTCCTAGACCACGGATTGCTAAACGGGACCACGGATTGCTAAACGGACTGCTCCTCTCTCCACTCCTAGACCACGGCTTGCTTAAAGGACTATCTTCTCATTCCATCGGGTGAAAATAACCCTTAAGTTCCAGAACTTGCCTTATTAAGTTAAGTATTTCTGTTCCAATTAATCCACTGTCATTCTCTCTAATTAAGTTTCTTATTCTAATTGATCTAACTTATAACAATAATTCACTCTCCAATAATCAACTCAATTATTATTACAACTTCTCCTGCTTCATTTATTACTATTGATTCCACAGAGGGGAATTTAAGTGACATCTGAAAATTAACAGATTCTTTTAGTTACACCCAAATTCTAAGCTACATGTGTAATTAAGGTAATAGTAATTACTCCTTTTCCAATATAAAAAGAGGTGAATCTAGCAAATACTTCAATTAGGAAACTCTGCAGTTGTGTTCCAATTAACAAATAAGTATCACACATACACACATACATATATATTGACATACATAGACACTGACAGACATACATGCATACATACTGACATACATAGACAGACAAAGATATACATACTGACATACATACATACATACATACATACACATACATACATACACAGATATGCACATACTGACACACATACAAACACATACATACAGACATACATACATACAGATACATACATACACACACACAGACAAACAGACACACACAGACAGACATAAACTGACATACATACATACATACATACATACACACACACACACATACATACTGACATACATACATACGGAAATCTGAAGATCTGGGGCCAATCGGGTGGCCCTAAATGCTTGGGCCGAGTTCAGATCCGGTCTGCGGGCCGTAGTTTGAGGACCCTTGTATTAATACAT